TTGATTAATCCCGGGTGGACTAAGTGGTGCGAGAGGACATGACGCCCTGTGAGGCTGCTGGTGAAATTTAGGCTGGTACGGTTCAAGCATTCGGATCTTCCCCCAACGGTTGAAAAACAGGGCAATAGCGCCTACCCAGATGACCAGCACCAGGACAACTAACAGGACCTCTTCCACCCGTACTACCACTACAGGTCCATCTGAAACATATTATAGTTCACATGGATGCTAATTTGAAAGAAATCACTCATAATAGCATAACACGTAATGTAATCTTTGTATAAAAGTTTATTTTATTTCAGAGTTTTATACATTGAAAACCGAATTCTGCAGCTTTAATATTATTGTCACTGCATTTTAAAATATGTCTGTTATGTAGCTATTTAGATGATTTTTAATAGCTTGGAAGAAATCTGTTGCAAGAATTTGTAATTGTACACTTAATTTCTGAAATTTGTAATTGCATTGTATTTTCCACACATAGTTAATTATTGTTAAAGGCAATTTGGCGACGATTCATGACCTCGAACTGCTCGTTCCCCTGCTCGTTCCCTTCCTAAAATGCATTCTACATGATTGTTTTGTTAAATTAAAGTTGGAAACCCTTCGTTTGTTATTTTGCACAAAATTATTAACGTTTGTACCTTCCGATTAAAGATTTTTGCTAGAGAACATTTGTATCAGTTTAAGCTATTATCCTTACTCTGATATTGAATAATATTACTTTCAAAAAATTTTATCAAGTACTAGTTTCACAACGCAATGTCTAGATATAAATTCTAATATTCTGTTATTTTGTAAGTAAACGATAATAAAAACTTTCTTCTTGCCAAACATTATTGTTTCGTCGACTAATTTCATTCGAATATTATTTTATTTCCATTACCGTGACCAAAGAACCGGGAGAATATTTTTTTTCATGAATTTTGTCGACCTTATTTCTCTATCAGACTATTGGCAAACCAGAAATTAGTTTATTGATGATTACTATACAAGAAGTTGGGACCCAAAATCGTTAAATATGAAATTACATTTTCAGAAACTAGAAGAATTTTTTTTTAATTATCTAACTAACTAAAATCACACACAATATAGCAATACGTGTCATGGTCATGATTCTCACAAAGTAAATTGGGTGCATACATAATGATCTCTGAATGCTTAATGTGCAGGAAGATCATTTGTAAGTGTTACAAGGAAACCTATATTCCGATACATGGACAAGAGCGCAGTGACATTAAGCTACCATCTCAAAATCCCATTAAACTTAACATTATATCTCACTAACTCTTAGCATCTAAAATGCATATTTGAAAGGCGCTATTAGCTTTCGGCGGTACATTATCTAATTGCTGATAGTTTATGCTGGTGACGAATAATTGATGCATAAATGTTGGCTCATGCAGATGGGTTCGGGATATTTTAGACAAAAATTGATTTAGATTTATGAAAAAAAATATTAGAAAAATTATTTATGGAAGAAAATTACCCAATATTAACAATCTTTACACTGACATAAATGCCAGATTATTACATCTGTGGTATAAATTCGATAAAAATTTTTTTATGAGGTATCATATCAACTTTTGTAATATTGCATTTTCATTACATTTTGGGAAGAATAGTGTATTAAATTCGAACTAAACAAGAATTATACTGTTGATGGCATTTTTTTATGTGGCAAACAGTGTTGGCTATGACTGAATAATTATTATAGATCTTTTCTAAAATGAATTTCATTATTCGAACTTCGTTAGTGGGAATAATAGAAAATGATTATGACTATTAGTATGTTCGAAACTTTGTGACGAGCTCCATTAAAATATAGAAAAGTTTAGAGTGAGTTTAAAAGTTGCAGTTTTGATAAATTTTAGTTAAATGGTGACTCGTGAAAAATAAAAAATTAAAAAAAAAAATTAACAATGTTTCTTATTTGGTAACCACTGCCAAAGATAATGGACCATTTTTCCAATTTGCTCGATAATGGTTTTTCCGCATAATATCCTAGGAAAGTATACAACACACACATTTATACGAAATAGTCCCGTATAACTACCAGAAATGAAGATGAAACGTTTTAGAACGCAAAAATTATGGAAAATTTTGTGTTTCGAGTAGTTTTTGAACTCAATTAATTAATTTTCTAAATAGCTGTATTTCTTCTAAACTAGCAGGTTTAGCAGAAATGATGCAGGTTTTAATTAATTTTAATTTTAAAAAATAATGGAACTAACAAATAAACAACTTAACACGCGTAGTTTTCTCCCAGGAATGCTGCTAGCAAACTAAGTTTTATTCGAAATATCGTTTCGAAGATTAAAAACTTATTGGAGTCACTTTCAATTAACATCATAAAGAAATTCGGGAATTCATTATAGGAAACTATTGCTTTGTGAAGAAAAACGATTAGGACTTAGAAGTAATAACTTTTCGCGCTTGTTACATTTTTGGGGTATAAACGCAATAATTAATTAAACCTCACCAACAAACGGATGTCAAAATTCTAAACTAAGTAAAAGAATGAAATAAATTACACGATCTTTGCGCAAAGGATCCGTGTCGAGAAATATTAATTATGGTCGCCACGCTTATACCAATTTATCATAAAACAAAGATTGATAAACGTCATCCAGTCATCTCTAATTCAATGCTTTTAATCATTCCGGCTTCCAGAGCACAGTGGGACTGTGACATAAATTATGTGATTCTTGATTCAAATTTCAAAAAAGAATATGAACGCACCTGGCCTTCAGGAAAAAAATGCCAAGTCTGTACTTTTTCTTTGTAGGATTCTCGGAGCTTGTGCGTTTAAAGAAATTGATACAAAAGTCAAGAAACAAACTCTTCTTTCCATTCAAGTAAGACTGAACCAAGTTCAGGTGAAGAAGATCTGTCTCAATCCCGTTTATTTTAAAATCAGAATCGAAACAAAATTTCACAACTTCTCAACAAAAAAATGCGGTTTAAATATTGACACCAAAGGAAACGATTGTGATTTAATAATTTAACAATAACTAATAATGATAATTAGGAAATCAAGATGAAATATAGAGACGCATTCCGCATTTTTAGTTGGTCGCGTTATAAACCACAAAGTAATGTTGATACTTCTTGACATGGAAAGCATTGTGTCAAAAGAATGCACATAGGCTTAAATATACTAGAAAACATGAGTACGTGTTCCCGGTCTAAGCCTGATCTCAGTTATTTTAGTGCAATACAATATGTTACACAGCTTAAGTCAAAGTGTATTGCAGTTTTTCTTTTTGGTATTTTGATTTGATTTATTTTGTTTAATCAAATAGCTCAAAATTAATAACTAATATTTCTTCGTTGCTGTTTATGATATTTCTTTTACTTTTCGGGCCAATCATGTAATAATAATGATATTTTATCAAGATTAAGCGAAAGTAATTCAAGTTAATAAAAAAAATGAAAGACGGTACGAAGTTCAGGATGAACGATCACACAATAAAATCGGACACCGCCGTTTTCATCAACAACAAGTTTTTCGATCGAACTCGCCACCTGGAAAAAGTGGCCATTCCAAATTAAATGTTCAATGATTTTCTTTATTCCAGAATCAATAACGTTTGTTACCATAGGAACTATGTAAACCGATAAATAAATAATTAAATGACGACAACCAACTATTGATTTTGTGATTTTGTTGGTTGTTTTAAATTATGTATCATACATTTTAAGAATTCTTCTTTGGATAAAGTTTTGAAGTGAAAATGAATGCTTAAATATTTAGGAGCACAACATGGTTGGCCTTGAGGTAATACTGTCATAATAATTTAATGTAGATAATAAATTAGCAATCACACGCCAGATAGTTAGGGACTGTCATCTGGACTTGCCATAGGTTGTGGGTTCGATTCCCACCGGGAGCCTTGGGTGTTATTGTGTTTGTTCGACTTTAACGACTGGAAAAAATTGCCTAATTTACTCGTTGATATATGCAAAAACCTGGGGAGCCGTCTAAGTAAAGACGCGAGCACATTGTATTAAAGAGACAAAAACGCCAGATAGTTGTGAACTTAGAAGAACTAACTGATTTGGTAAGGAAGTTTCGGATGTCGTATATGTCAAAAAGTGTATAACGTTATTCTTAGTTCTTGTTAAATATTATATTTAATTCGTATGTTATGTTTAACAACGGCCTGTGACTAAAATTGATAACTTCTGAATTTGTCACATAAAACCAGTTTCAAGACCATTTCCTAACTGACTCCGTTTAGTGAATAAATCATGGACCGTACACCCTAAGGTCGTTCAATAATTCAAGAAACTTGCACACAGTCGTTAAGCCTCGAATTCCCGTTACTATAGCAAATGCTGGTAATTTATTTGGCGGTAATTCAAAGGCCATCATAAATAATTTATTTACAAGCGTTTGTCACGCACCACGCCCGACTCAACAAATTGATAATTTGGAGCTTGGCGTCGCTATTAAAACCTTTTTTAACATTGTATTCTCACGAAATTAAAAATATTTCTCCTAAAACCTGAAAAATTGAAATCATGTAGATTGTTGCTCAGTTCACAGCGTTCGCAGTCGAAATGTATTAAGGCTGAACATAATTGTCAATATCTCTATTTCGATTGTCCTCGTATATTTATTCATAAGACATTCTAAGCATATAAAAGAATCGGATAATTAAAGCCATCCACCTTCTCCACACTCTTCTACATACAGTTATGCTACATATTTATGTTCTTCTTCCTTTCGCTGTTGCAAAAATGTGGACCAATTGCTTACACAGTATCAGAGAATTAGTTACATATTTGACCTGATTAACCACACATTAACGATGTTTTGGAGGATAGTATGATAGTACTAGAAACTAAAAATATAAATTTTTGCCGGCTCTAGATTTAATCTAAGTGTAAGCTATTGTTCTTGACTTTTGACTAATGCTTTTTTCTTGCAAAACTTCTACAGGCTCCTGTAATACGATTCCTCCTTCCTTATTCCTCCTGTATCGGTTGTTGACGTAATGTTCTCGACTTTTCACTAATTCTTTAACTATATGCTGTTGCTAACGTTTCGCCAATCATCCTGTTGGCATCTTCAGAGCTTAACTTGTTTCAGATTGGTGAAACGTTAGCAAGTTCGATTCCTCAAAAACCGACGCAAGAGGAATCCAAAAGCTTTGTAAATAAGGGGTGATTCAATAAGGGTTTCCATATTAAAATAATAAAAAATACTCGGAAGTATATAAAAATATACAAACATATTTATTTGCCATTTTAGATTAGTGTATTACAACTAGGTATGAAAGATGACCCCCGCGACGCATGTGGCACTTTTTGACACAATTCAGGTTCTATGCCGGCTATGTCGCGTCTAATCTCCTGTTTCAGCTCTCGAATAGTGTTTGGTTTATTTCTGCTTTTTAGATACCCCAAAAAAAATCTAGGGGAGTAAGATCACATGATCGCGGCGACCAATTGATACCGCCGTTACGTGAGATAATCCGACCAGGAAACTTGCCCCGCACCAAGAAGTGGCTCCATCCTGTTTTAACCACAAATCTTCAATGTCCATAGCTTCCAACTGCTCCCAGAAAAAATCAGATATCATGTTTCGATAGCGAACACCATTAACCGTAACAGCGTTCTCCGCATTATCCTCGAAAAAAAAAGGGCCCATTATTCCTCCGCACCAAAATGCGCACCAAACACTCACTTTTTTCTTTTTGAACAATCTCTCTTGGATTTTCTAATCCCCAAATACGAGCATTGTGTTTGTTTACAAAGCCACCAACGTGAAAATGTGCCTCATCGCTAAAGATGATTTTCTTTGAAAAATAAACCCCTTGTTCTCGTATCCATTCTGCAAACATGCGGCGCTGTTGATGATCTCGAGGTTTGAACTCCTGAGTTATTTAGACTTTATATGGGTGTGGATGCAAGTCTTTTCTTAAAATTCGCTGTGTGGTTGAATACGTAAGGCTCACTTGCTGCGATCGATGACGTTTGGATCTTCGGCTACACTTTCGCGAACAATGGCAATATTTTGATCTGACCGACCTGCACGAGCACGTTGAGGGACTTTGAGGTTAGTTACAGATCCAGTTTGCTCAAATTTCTGAACCACATTCCAAATTGTCCTCTCAGAAGGTCGATTTTGCGCGCCGAGAAATTCACGTAGAGCCCGAAATGCATTTTTTCTTGATCGACCATTTTCATAATAGGCTTGCACAATTTTTACACGTTGTTCAGTCGTATATTGCTCCATGCCTAATTTTGTTTATGTTTTGAGGTTATAAATCTCATATGATAATAAACAAATACAGTGGCGTTTCAAAAATATTTCAGATTGCAATGTGGAAACTCTTAATAAATCACTCAAATCACATAAGCAATATTTAAAATTTAAAAGTATAATTTTTTGTTACGAAATTAAATTAATAAATTAAACTTCTTTCTAGAGACACTAAGGCATTAATAAACTGTATGTGATAATGCAAAAAAAACAGCCTACGCTTAGTTGACTGGTGGAAGTTCTAACAAAAAGGTAGTTTTGACGCATTGACTAATAAAATGAAATAAAAGCACTAGTTCAGGACTAGGAACATAATTAAAAGCTTATACGGTCGTCCATCAAAATAGGTGGTGGTAGGCCGAGCACGAGAATGCTATTTGGTGTCATTGTGATAAGCTGCTTTTCTTAATTTAACAGGTGATAAAATCAACGTGTACCAAAATTATGCTATTAAAAGCTAAGAAAGGGAAGAATGCCTAAACTAGAACTAACCAATTTTATAATAACATCCACGGTTACCTGTCGCTTGGTTGACAGGTGTGTTGTTGACATGTGAGCGCTGTTGTTGAACTTTCGACGACGTCGTCGATGAGGTTGCCACGACCGTCTCCTCGCGAACTTCCACTTCCATGCCTTGAAAGCCACCGTTGTGGCCTTCGTTCCACTCTGAAATAATAACAACCTTTATGATTGCAGAACGCTTTTAAATCTCATCCAAAACAATCAGCTACTGCAAATGTGATGGCAATGCCACAGTCAAAATCAACTGAAATGCAGCATATGAAACCGAGATAGTGACAGAAACTTTGCTTTTTGATTGAAATTTTTAGAATAGAAACATTGTCTTAAATATACAACTTTGATCAATTACGGTCCAATGGCGAACGAGGCGACGTAGTTAGACTTCTCAGACATATTACAAGAATGCAAAACACAGTGCTTAGACAAATGAATAACGAGGCAGTCAATTTGGTAAGTGGAAGACGTAACAAATAAGTATGGTGAAAGGGGGGGGGGGTATGGGCATTAAAAAAAAAAAAGACATATTCCCTTGTATTTAGCACGGCAAAGTTCAATTTCAAGTCTTTTGTTGAGGGCAACTAACCAAAACAAGGCGTTTTGCGATTTATATATACGTCCTAAATATTCAGCTATATACAAAAACAAAAAAAAAACTAGTCCGTTTTGGATTTATTTCGGTTTTCTTTTTATTTTGTTAGTGTTGAAAAAAACGCTAAAAAAAATTTACTATAGGTGTGGAAAACGGATTTAGGGGAATACGAAAATTGCAAAGATGTCTGAGGCGCATCAATTCTTACAGTTCTAACCGCTTATATGATTTCATCCCTAAAAATATGTCACATTAACACGTTCGTCTACAGTGAAGAATAGTATATTATGCAACAAGTGCGGTAAACGGCATTTGACTCACGAGTTTATTTGACAGGAGCGGAGCGAGTGTTTAATAAACGAGTGACAAAAAGTTTACCGAACGCATTGCATACTATACTTTTTCTACATTACTATAAGGTTGTTCGGAAAGTCATTTCGTTTTTTCCCGTCAGAGGACTTAATTACGTTTTTTCGAAACCAACTTCACACTTAAGTCGCATAACCATTATATGTCTTGAGAGCTGATATTGCAAGGCTTGTGTGTGAAAAAGTTCTATTAATTCTACGCAGTAGTTTTTGGTTGGTGCCCTTTTAATTATGGAGAGCAATAAGCAGCATTTTCGTCATATTTTACTTTTTTACTTCATAAAGAGAAAATAATTGACGGATGTGTATGGAGAAGGCGTGTTAACAGTACGCCAGTGCCAGAACTGGTTTGCAAAATTTCGATCCGGCAATTTTGATGTCGAAGATGCACCACGGTCTGGAAGGCCGGTCGAAGCTGACAAAGATGCGATAAAGGCATTAGTTGATGCAAATCGGCGAATAACCACACGAGAGATCGGTGAGAGATTAAATTTGTCGAATTCGACTGTATATGGCCATTTGAACGGCATGGGCTTAACCTCGAAGCTCGATGTGTGGGTGCCCCATGTCCTTACGGAGCGAAATTTGTGTCGTCGCGTTGACGTGTGTGATTCGCTCCTCAAACGTCAAGAAAATGATCCATTTTTGAAGCGGATTATTACTGGGGACGAAAAATGGGTTGTATACAACAATGTTAAACGCAAGAGGTCATGGAGCGGAAAAGATGAACCGGCTCAAAGCGTGTCAAAAGCCAACATTCACCAAAAAAAGGTGATGCTCTCCGTTTGGTGGGATGTCAAAGGAATCGTTTTTTTTTGAGCTTTTGCCGGACAATACAACGATTAATTCAGAAGTCTATTGTCATCAACTGGACAAATTGAATGATTCACTTAAAGAGAAGAGGCCCGAATTAATCAACAGGAAGGGTGTAGTGTTCCACCAGGATAATGCGAGACCTCACACAAGTTTGGTCACTCGCCAAAAACTTTTACAGCTTGAATGGGACGTACTGCAACATCCACCATATTCTCCAGATCTGGCGCCTTCCGACTACTATTTATTCCGGTCCCTGCAAAATTTTTTGGATGGCAAAACCTTTACCTCAAATGAAGATGTCAAAAACCACCTGAACCAGTTTTTTGCCAGCAAGGACCAAAACTTTTATGAGAGGGGAATTATGTTACTGCCAGAAAGATGGCAAAAGGTGTTGGACCAGAATGGCCAATATATAATTTAATAAAATATTTATTCATCATACGAAAACTGTCTTTCATGTTCCCCAAAAAAAACGAAATGAGTTTCCGAACAACCCAATAAAACATTCAATGACTTGACCGTCAGAATGTACAAACGTAAAAATTCAAGGCGTGGGAAATATCTTCGAAAACATCCGATCGCTCCCAAACCCGTGCGATAAAATCCCGAAAATGTCCGAAGTGGCTCGGATCCGTGGGAAACGAAACTGGCGTCGTAAAGTAACACTTCCCGCTCGCACAGACGGGAGTAGAAATAGATTTTTTGTTCTCAACGATTTTTTGAAAATCCTAATATGTAGCTTTAGTTTTTAATTAGATGGGTAACTTATTGAATAATTTGACTCTCACGTACACAGGCAATTACTTTAACACACCTATTCTACGAGCTGAATAACTTCGGACATTTCCGGGATATTACCGCACAGGTTTTGTAGCAATCCGGTGTATTCGGGGATTTTACCCCACGGCTTGAATTTTGACGTTTGTCAATTCTGACGGTCATGTCGGTGAATGTATTCGTGTTATTTTGCAAAAATGTACCTAAAAACTAAGTGTCGTAGAAAAAAAAAATATAGTCAAATAACTATTAAAAACCATTAAACGCAGGCATTTCTATGTCGTTTTTTACTTTGTGATTTTTTTATATTATTCTTGTTACATTTCAGCATTGCATCAAGAAATTACGAACACTAAATAAAGGATAAAATAAAATCATGGATCATACTACGTTATTCATAATGCATTTATTTAGGGTTAAAAATTTGTTCAGTTTTAATATTTATTTCTCTACTACTCTTGAATAATTTCGGTATTCAAATTTTTTTTCAGAAGTTCTTAGAAGGCGAAAAATAACTGAAAACCATCGGAAAACATATTTGCGAAAACATAAAGCAATATCGCTTCCAGGGATCTGTTTGATATACGCCAGCTTTGATCGCTTGTCATTCAAACAACCTATCTCTAATTAACGAACCCCGCGTGTTCATCTCCAACATATTTGACTTGTTAAGGCGGATTCGCTAGGCTATGTTTATATATCAAGTGTAATCTTATTTAATTAGAGCGTTTGCCTGACTACAGTCGAGACTCGGTCTTAAAGCAGATCTGAGGAAAAGCCAGATTTCACCGGAAAACTATTTAAAATCGACATTAAATCAGCGATTCGAAAACGGAAATAGTGTAACATTTGTTTTAATTACTTCATACGGGAATGAGACAGAGGGTGAGCTGAATATTGCTCACGTGATGGAGGAAATCGCTTTCAGAGGTGTTTCAGCCAATCTATTCAACGAAAACAAACCTCATAAGTTCAAACAAATAAGTTTAATGTTAATAATTTAGTACAGAACTGCTGAATATTGTATAAGTCACGACGTATAATGCAAACACTTGAAGGCAAGACGTTAATTTTCCCAAAGATATCTCGTAATGAAATATATACTAAAAGATTTACATTAAGACAATTCCATTCAAATTTGGCTTCAGTAAGAAAAGAAGACTTGAATGGGGAAGAAATACTTAGCTGGCCGTATTCTCCAGAGCCGGTATTTCTTTAAAATAACCAATCAAACTAGCAGCTTTGAATCAATCGCTTTCCTCAGAGTACGGACCGCCCATTACGTGCTTATGAAAAATAACAATATGCACATCAACTAGTACGATGAAATAAAGAAGAAAGTTGATACCTGTCAGCAAAAATATAAACAATATAAAGAAAAGCAGTATAGAATGATGTTAAAGATCTTACGTATGCAAGAAGGGCTGGTAAACGGATTGGTACAAAAATATCACATGTGCCACTTTCACTCTATTGTATACTAGGTTAAGAATTTATTATACTTTTAATATACAACATCCAAAAACAACCATTTTATATAGCCCATAAATCAAAATATTATTCGTTCATTGAAATTGGTCATCTATTACTTCAAATATTATTACGAATTCTTAAAGTAATTATAATAAGGATAAAGGTCACTATAAAGATGAGAAATATGAAAAACTGATGCATGAAAACACGAAAGATGTTTTTCAGGAATACCAAAGAGTGAGACAACTGTATAAGAAATCTGACGCATGACTAACCAAAAGACAATAATAATATAATATTTTAAAAGTAAAAAGAAATCCAAACAACGTTTGCCTCTCTAAATCTTTTTTATAATTTTAACAGATTCTGAGAAAAGGTATTATCCCATAACAAACAGGCCACTATGTAAATCAAAATTTTTAAAGCTGTTTTACTGAATAGATACAGCTTATGAGGAATGAGCATAGTATAAACTTGTCCTATAAGTTCATACCTTAGACGAAAATAAGAGAAGTACGTAATTTAATCCAAGATTTTCCTTTTACTAATTGATAAAAAGTAATTTCAACAACTTTTTCTGCAAATGTTGGTCAAAATTGCCAAAATTGGATAGCGGTATTGGCAAAGCCCAATTTTGTATTTTGATACTTTGTAGTGCTTCCAGACTGGAAAAAATGTTCTCATTTTATAAATTTTTGATACTACGTAAAACAGGTTTAAAGGCGCACGAAACCGCATCGTTGCATTTTCTTCATGCCGGAAGTATTTTAGACATTCTGAAAAGCCATGGAATATTCAAGTAACGTGAATGAATTTGTTTCTGACAAAAATAAAGTGTCGACGATTTCAATATGAATATTTGCCAACGAACTCCCGCGTACGGAATTCTCTCAATTTTGTAGATTATTGTAAAATACAAGGTCTTCCTTTCCATACAAAAAAATAGTTTGCATACGTTCTGGTTTCGCACATGAAAAGTAATGATTGACTTGGAAGTAGTTAAATTTCATATTCTTAATTTCCAATGGCTGATCTGAGGTTGGTTGGGAGAGAATAGCTACTACGAATTGGACTACACCACTGAAAAAAATGTTTTTCTTTCAATTATTTATTTAAAGATATTTTTCATTTATTTTTGTAAACATTTATTTCATAAAAGGCTTTATTATTACTCCTATTATTATTATTATCGATATCGAAAAGAGTTGTAAGATTTGGAGTATAATATCATCGTGCCTATAAATAAGTCTTGGATGGGTTGGTATTATGAAGGTAACTAATTCAATATAAATTATCGGTACATTTTTTTCCCTAAAATACCAAATTCGTCTTTAGTTGAATGATCCAGCAGTCAATTTGAAATACCTATGGGATACTTAAGAGAATATCTAATTTTAGATTAATGTAAAAAAGTAAATAAATTATTAGGAAGATCGACCAAAATTACATAATTCAATTATATTAAAAAAATTCAAAATATCGAGATAGCTATTAATCCCACTTATCGGACATAGCAAACAGTGTTTGTCTCACGATAGCGTACACCAAGTGGGTACCATTTATCGGTCGTGCATTTTATTTTGTTTGTCTTGTATAATCGACAAATAAAGTTAAAAAAGAAGGGAAATTAAATAAAAATATAACATATATTTACGTGTCCTATATTTAAGGCAACCCGTTTTTTCTGTGATCCAACTGCCGAACACCCCTGAAATAAAATCAAATTGCTATTAAATAAAATATGGAATATTAAAATATTGTAAAAATACAGAAACAATATTAGTTACCCAAAACATATTTTAAAATATGTGTTTTTAAAGTAACTATTAAACAAAATAGTTTTAGAAACAAGTGTCGTTTTGTTAAGAGTTTTTAGCAAAGTAGCAAGGGGGCTGATGAGCCACTGATATTATAAAACTTTATAAAATTCTAGACGTATATAAAAGCCTGGATCGATAGTAGCGTTACCCAAAGCTTTGAATAATTTACTGACACATATTTTATTATGCATTTCATTTGTTAAAATGTTTTTATTTTATAATATCAATTAAAATTATCCTATAGATGTTCTTATGTGATTTCTCCGGATTTAGATTGAACTTGGACGTTACCTTTTTCTCTCTTTTCTCAATCCTTGATTCGCAAAATAGAAACTTAATGTTGCCGTGAAGATGTTGTCCGAACTAACACGATGAAAGACGAAAGCAAACACAAAAAAATTGAGTTAGTTTTTAATTCCGTTAGAAAAATAGCGCTGGGAGTTGATTTCGTCGAATCCAATTGTCTGATAACGCGTCGTCACTGTCTGAGTCCATTAGCAAAGAAAAGTGGGAAAGAAAAACAGAGAAATTAAGTTCTCGACATTAATAAATTTAGTTTAAGGGGGATTAAATTTTTGCTCGCCACGATAATTACTTCCTTATCGTTGTCAGCGTCATCGAAAGCTCCAGTTAAATGAATTTATAAATTTTTCTTTAAAACAACCAAGCACATATTTTGAATCTTGTTCTCTTAATTTTATCAATTCGACGATATTTTTGTCCCTTTGATATTTTACGTGTCCCTTGTGTTTAGAAAATTAAAAAATCATTGCTTCAACTTACTATTGTTTAATAAAATTGTTTCCATACAGGACATTCTCCAAAATATTAAGCACTTTTAAAAGTGTAAAGAAAGATACATCTCTACAAACCTCATTATAACCCTATATGATAAAAAAGGCAGAGATTAGATTTTTATGACTTGAAGAAGAAAATAATAATTTGGTTCACCTTTTTAAATGATGACTGACATTAATTATACTTACGGGCATTATTAGTTGCTATAAATTTTAGATTTGGGTAGTCTTAGAGCGGACTATATTCTCTTTATTCTGCGTAACGGTAAATAATACTCATTTTCAACTAAAAATCTCTTCAAACAAAATACGCAAAAGGTATAATTTTTTCTACTGCCCTGTATAAAATATATGTGAAAATTGAAATAATAATCCATTAGAAATTAATTTTGTGATTTTTGATATTCACTTTTAAATTGTAAGGTATAATAAGTCGATAAGACGTATTGGTATTTTTGCATAAGGAATAAAATTAAACCATACATTTACCATCACATACGCGCCAGAAAGTCAAGGAAGTTCAAGGCATGCTTACAAAATAAGTTTAATAAGTTAACTCAAAATAGATAATACTTTACAAAACTTTTACGCGAAATATATGAAAGGACTGGTATCTAAAGCTTATCAAGGTTCCCGCTTCATAGGAAAACTTCCAACAAAACTTAGTGCGAGCTGTTTCACCACCCCTAATTTCGTTTTATATTCCTACATAGAATTGCATTTATATACAATGTGACCATTGTGGTGTGTGCAAATTTGATTTAGCTTATGAAGGTTCATGATGAGACCCAAGGACTAGCTTTGGTAACAGGACAGCTTTCTAAGAATATCGTGTACCTTCGAATATTAAATGTATTTTTATATTCAGCAATTTATTCCTAGCAATTTCAGATTTTTTTTATTTTTATAGTGGATCAATATTGCAATCCACTAACCCTGATATTCATATCGAAACTTAATAGTCATTATAAGTAATCTTCACGTCTAATTTGAGTTCAAATAATATTAAAAAAAAAACGATATAAATAATCGGTTGTTAAGAGAAATTATCAATTATTTCCACTTCAGTAAACGCAAAAATTCTTGATTTCTTTTACCGATCAAATGAACTAGTTATAATGTTTTGTAAAACTATTACCAAATTTTGAAAATAAAACATTTTTACTTGCCGAGTAATCTAAAGAGGAACATATGCAGCGCATTACAAATAAATTGACTATTCCATCAAATAAAAAAAGGAGTAATCTCTTGGATTGGATCGAATTTAATTGAATTTGGAATATGCTTTTTTAAATGTTAATATCGAATCACAATTTACAATTCTCGAGATGGCGTTTTTCATGCAGCACTATACGTATATAATTAATGACGTAGTATCTTACTATTTACAAAACTTCTAGATTCCTCCTGCATCGGTTATTGTTGAATCGAAGTTGCTGCAGGAGGAATGCAGTTTTGTAAATAGTATTACGGTAGCCTGTGGAAATTTCCTTGAAAAATTGACGTAGCACCTTGCTGAACTATCACCTGCGAGTTCCAATAAAGAAAATAAATGAACATAAAACGAAGAACACAATTAATTTTTCGAAAACTGAAAAAGATAGATGTAAGAACAGAACCGTTTAGAATAAAATCAATAGAGCGTTACCATGTATATAAAACATCAAATTTTCAGATTGATTTTACGTTTCTTTTACAGCGAATATCATATAATCTTTGGCCGCATAAGATGCCTTTCAGTTCGTATTTCGGAAACGCTATTCAATAGACAATAATGTGCAATGAATTTACATGAACAATATACCAGCTTGCACATAGCTAGTGCCGGAAGTCGAAGCGTCCAAAGATGCCGAAGGTCGATATGTAACTCTCCGAGAACCGGACGTTACATTACTGCGTCGCCGCAGAGGATTACCAGCGTTCACGGGACCCAGTGTGTAACCTGAAACAACCAAACTAATATTGTTTATTACATGTTTTTGCAATTCTAACTTACTTTATTATTTTAACAACAGTGCAGAATTTGGATATAAATGAATAAACTCGGGCTGTAAAAGTGTATTGCGTCAGACTCTAAAAGTGCGTTTAAAGTATCTGATTTTCTATTTGTATCTTTGCGACGAGTGTGCAAACTAACTGGAAAATATTGTATTTAATGTTATGTTATATTCGTTGTGGTTTGTCGACTGACAAAAAACTCATAACTTGTGTAAAATTATTATTAAAATGGATAATCCAGAACCAAATCCAAACATAAAAGAGAAGAGAAATCTAGAAATTTAGTTACGGGGATTTAAATAATAATAAAGCAGCTTATCAAATCGCGAACAAAATCAGATATGCTGAACATGAACATCGAATGTTTTAAATTAGTATTCTCTAATTGAAAATAGGTTGGGAAATGAGACCTCGTAAACATACTAACAGTACATTTACGATTAAAAAATAGCGTAAATATATTTTTAAGTTTTGTAGTAAAAAGATAAATAAGATTTTTTTTAAAGAGTGCAATATTTACTAACTCGTTATGGTCTTCGGGGACACAAAACTCGCGACATCCTAAGCAAATGGCAAAAAACTAAACTACAAACTATATCACTAACTCAAAAAAATAGTAGCCATTTCTTTTCTATTCATTAATTTACCAGCTATCCATATAAAGTGATATGATTTTATATAATATGAATATGAAAATTCTAACCACCCCTCCCCCTCGAAATAATAAAAGAAAACAAAAGTTCTCTACATCAATACAATTTTGCAAGCGTTCGTTATAACAAAAAATTAATTAATATTTCGAAAACCACGAAAAGGGGTACACAAATAATCAGAAAGTGATACTACCAAATAAAATGCATTAATAAACAGGGCGATTCTTCGTTCGTATTTCTTTGTTTTTAATTCCTAGTTTGACCCATCCACTTTTAAATATAATTTAATATGTTTATTCTTTTTCCTTTCAAGTACTGCTTTACCCCCGACGCTTCAGACACAAATAATGGATAAATCATGATTTTTTTAGATTTTAAAGATTTATGTTATTAATTCCAAAACAATTTTCTTCTTATAATTAAAAATATTTAACGAATGTTTTTAGTCTCGCTTTTAGTACTTAAAAAAACTTCCTTCATTGCTGTGAAATTTGAAATCATATTATTAAATATTTTCAAATTGCTGTACAGCTTCAGATACATCAGAATCGTAACATTATTGAACTGGTGGTACTGATTCCAAAGTATCTCAATTTTGAAAGATGGGTTCTATATAATTTACAAGCATAATTTTGAAAAATTATATATTTATGTAAAGAAAGTATATGCAAAAAAGTGACGCCAGAGATATGAATAATTAGGATTAAACGACTTAGTTTAAGTATTTTTTTCAAGATTAATTCGATTTTTCTGAGAATGATTATTAAAAATGTTGATGTTTTAGAATATGACATAGATGCTCGGATTTAGGTGATGTATGAATATTTTGGGGTTTATTTATTTTATTTATTTATTGTTTACTTATTAATTATTTAAAATTTATTTATTGTTTATTTCGTTTCTTTATGTTATTGATTTATTATTTATTGATATACGTCTGATTTGCGAAAATCACAAGCAAATTTATCAATTATTGTAATGATTTTTTAAAATTAATTTCTACTAATTCATGGCAATGAAGGATATTTAAAATTTTGCCCTTCACCAACTGTAAAAATTGAGCGTTCTACCAAAATGTTAGATAAAGAAATATCAAGAACTGGACACTTGTTGAAAGTTGAAGTTGAAATATTTCTCCTAAATCTTTTATTTCGTGACCGCTTGAGTAAATTAAACCAAGCTTTGTTTTTACTGGGGCTGTCAAAATAGCTCTTAATAATGCAGAAAAATAAAATAAACCATATTTAATTTGCTGAAAAGTTATTTTTGCTTATAATCACTTGGCTAGAACTGATAAAGCAATTTATTCCTTGATTCCGACCCAGCTAAAAATCGTAACAATTTCAAGTCTAAATACAATGGTCGAATTTGACGGGCCAAAACACCGGATTACTTAAGTGGAGCACATTGCCACCGAAGCTGTAATAATGGAGCGCTTGAGTGGATCATTAGAGTCACCCGAAACTCTGTTTTTGCTAACTAGAGCATTTATAACGACACAGGAACGCTGCAAAATGCATACTTTAAGGAAAAACAGACATTTGTAAATGTCCTTTCAAAACGACCATTTTGTGACACTCATTTGGAAAAGTAAATCGTAAGGAAAAACCATCATTACGTGTTCATAGATGGCCGTTGTTCGCAAAAATCCCAAAATTAATATTTGTTTAGCTATGCAATTATGGAATGATTCGAATACTAATTACATATTTTCAAATTGCTCAATTTAAAATTTATAATGGATGCTTCAAGTATAAACTATTTCGAAGAAAAGTCTGAATTCCGACTTTTTTTTTGTTATTTCGATTTATTAAAATCTATAATATATTTTTTTTAATCAAACTAATAAAACTTTAAGTCAAAAGTCATTTCATAAATCTCTTAAAAGTATAATGGGTGCAAAAATAGTTACCCATATCTTTTTCGTCAAATTAGTTTCTCTGAATCGGGAAACCCCCAGCGAATTAAGCTCGACGTATTGCATCGGCCTATGACGTCATTAGTTTACCGTCTAGTCTATTCTACCACATAGCGTGGCAACGGCATCGGAAATATCGAAGGCAATGCCAGATTTATATTTGAGTATTTTGTTCCCTGTTTAACGGGATCAAAATCATCATTAATCAAATTCGTGTATTGTTAAATGAAAGTTTGTTTGCTGTTATATAAAAGTATACAACACAACATAGAATACTATACAGGGCTAACATACTATCGAATGGAATTTTCCTAAAACATTGGTAACTTTCTGAAATATGGCAACGCTTGTTGTATGGCAGTAAATACGGCTTTTTGAATCATCGAAGTGAACAAACTGTTAAAACCCGCTGCCCACTTTCTTATACACTGGTCGGTACATTTACCGGAGCCATTCATACGCACTTTGGTATATATTACTATAGGCCGATCAAATTTGTTAATAAATATATTATATTTTTGTTTTGTATGTAATAATATCAGTTACTAATTTTGAAGAAGGGTCGTCATAAAACAAGACAAAAAAATTGAATATCTATATTAATAAAATAATGGTTTCTAGCTTAACCTTTCAATGAGAATATAAAATATATCTTATTCAAAATGAGGGCAGTCAATTAGTATCGATTGTCTATTTGAAAAATTTAACTTCCGCTACGAAGTTTTGTCAACTTTTAAGACGTAAAATGGTAAAAGCATATAACAAATTTACTACACCTTAACCACTTCAATTTGAACGGTCGATAATGTAAGCATTTTCCGCTAAGCATGATTGAGGCAGGCATTTTCTTAGTTTTGGGAAATACACTTTGGATGGGTAAAATTTATTGTAAAAATTTACTGAAAATGTCGTGGTGTTGGTATATGTAAGACACAATATAACAAAAACATTGGAAAATAGTGACTTTAACATTAGTAATAGAAAACTTCTTTTCGACGATTGGTTTTATTGAGAGTGAACACATTCTGAGCGTCTTGGATAAATTCCTGTCACTGTTTCATTATCAAAACTACTACTTAGATCTTTTGAGAAATTTTATTGATTGTAAAAATGCATTTGATTGGAGGTATGAATTTAAAAAAATGAAAACAATTTACGACTTACTTTTACAGGAAATGCCCTAAACGGAATTTCTCTCTACCCCGTTTAATTTATGACATAACTCTTTCTTATATAACATAATTTATAATATGAGGTCAACAATTTATGGAACCCTTCATTATTTATTTAAATACCCACGTTATTCTCAACGAGTCTTAACTTCCATTCATCAAAAGAGAAATTTCTCGAGTTGCTTACTAAAAATTGGCTACCGTCCACCACCATATCATAAATTGAAAAATGAAGTAAATCATTAAAGAAATAAATCTTGATGGTTATCTCAGGTGGCTATACTCTACCAAATTACAAATAACTATTGATAAAATTAAGTTTGTGATCCCAATTGTTAATTGCAAATAAATATTATTAAAATATTAATAGTATAATAGTACAAAGCGATTCTCGACTATTTATAAGTGCGGAAATTGTATTTCAAATAGAACAAAAAAAACAGTACATCCCGATTTTTTCCTTTCAACCCATTAAAATCAAATAAAACCTTTCAATAAGTTATCAAAATTCATAATCACAGTACCAGCTCGAACACAAGTTTATATGTAATACAGAGCGGAACACCCACCATCTGAATGTTTCAATAATTTCAGCGATGATAGTAATTCTTGTTTCACTTTTTTTAGAAGCAGTTAAAATTCTCACTCTCGTTCTCTCAACTCTAACAAAACTTTGCAGTAGTCAACATAGCAACTAGCATGATGCCAGAGCTAGCAAAGCCCTGTTTGGATTGTTTATTTTTCTTGAAACAAAAATGATCCATAACGATGGCAGAGCAGTGTATTAGGAGCAAACCGGATTGCGGCTACTTCGTTGTAAAAATAAACGTACATATATAAACACAGACTTCAGCCGGCCAGAGGAAAAGACTCGTTAACAATATTAACGCGAATATACTGCGAAAATCTCGTTTCCCAATCAAATTCTCCGCGTTTGTATGGTTCGCGGTAATTTGTAACTACGTCAACACTTTTAAATAGTTAACTAATTGTATCGAAAGGCTTGTTCAGTTTATTGGATGTCCTTCCATCGAAAGCAGTGGTGTGTTTTCAATAAGATTTTATGACTTTATAAGACTTTGGACACTGACAACAACATGAGTGAATATTCACCGTTAAGCGTTCCCAAACCAGCTTTAAATTCACCAAACCGTGGCGGTGAACTATCCGCCTCCTTAAATCCTTCAAATTCTCATAGATTTCCGTCCCCGGAGAATCCCAGAAGGCCTTTGCTTAACGAAAATATGGCACCTCTCGCCAGAAACGAGGTGGATAATGACTCTGATGAGAGAGAAGTAGTTGATAAACCATATCCAGGAATTGACGACGGCTTCTTCGGTAACGGTGAGGGTGAGTATTTCTTTCCTATGCTTTGCGTTGAAATATTTTGAAATAAAAGAGCAGATTAAATAGTTTAACTTTTAACCGGCGTTAAGGTTATTTTAAAGGTTTGTGAAAAATATAAACAGTACAACTTCGCAACAACCTGTTCAATTTTCATTTCAAAATTGATTTCAAGGTAATAGTTTTTAGTTCATTCGCGCCATTTAAAATTAGCATATATCTTTAAATTCGTCATTTTAAATACAAATTACTATTGTAGTAGGCAGTGCAAGTAACACCTTTAAAGGAAAGGTGAATGTACGAATGGTACTCAGTTTCCTGGGAACGCAGTTTCGTATTGTTGCAAATTGATATTATTCACTGATAGGTTCTTGACTTCTGCAACCTTGAATTTTTATTTTCCGGAAAAACTATAACTTTAGTAAATGGAGCGAGGCACAAATTTTATTTATGTTTATGTTATGGCTGGTCGGCGAAAATCCCACGGAAAGCCCTAGTAATATTGATTAATTTTATACTTTAGTGCAGGGTCGCTGTTATTCTATTATCTCCTAAAGTAGAGAGCTATCAAAAAATATTCAATACAAAAGATTTGAGGTTTTTAATAATAGAAAAATAATTATAGAATGGTGTCTGACAAATAAATCCCAATCGTTTTGTTAAAAAAAAAAAACCTGTATATTATTCGGCTTTTTTTTAGATTGTTCTCGAAGTAGGTATCATACCATTTCTTCCTTTTTTAACCACCACCCACCACATCTCCCTAATAAGGTAACCAATAGAGCTAAACAAATTATTTACAGGATATTGAGAAAGATTTAAATTTCGAATAATATACTGGGTATCTTAAAGGACTAAGTTTTTTGGAGGAGATATGAGATAATCAACATTCTCTATAGAAAACTAGTATAACTAAGTGTATTTAATTAAACACTTAGTTTTAGGAATGTCCAATTGAGGCAAAAAGTTCAATCTCAAAACTGTGAGACTTCCAATTAAAGAAAAAACTGAAATAAATGTTTCTTACAATTGTTCGTATGGTCTCTCCGTAAAGTATGAAGACAACTTCTTTGTATAGGTTGAGATAATCTAATATAAGATAACAAGCTAATGAAAATAATATATATATAAATAATATGTGTATATATATATATATATATATATATATATATATATATATATATATATATATATATATATATATATATATATATATATATATATATATATATATATATATATATATATATATACACATATATATATATATATATACACACATATATATATATATATATATATATATATATATATATATATATATATATATATATATATATATATATATATATATATATATATATATATATATATATATATGTATATATATATATATATATATATATATATATATATATATATATATATATATATATATATATATATATATATATATATATATATATATATATATATATATATATATATATATATATATTAATTTGACCGACAAATAAGATTCAAGGATACACAAACGATAAATAAATTTTATAAGTAAGAACTATTGGGTTCTGGAAAATCTGCACTCCATCATTGGAGCTTAAAAAATTTTACAAGAACCGTTTTTACCGAGGTGAAATATATTTCGTTACATTAATCACAATCATTTTTTTCTTAGTTTCGGTTATCTCATCTCACGAAACCGGTCAATGATATAATGTGGGCAATTAATTAATACTAAAATACTATTCTAGGAATTTCGAATAATACACCAAACGATAGGCGAACCTCAAATGAAAACAATCCGGACGTGGAGTTCATTCCAACAGGTCCAAAAGAACCTGAGCCCACGGAACCTGAAGCAGATTTTCCCGAAATTACGCCACGGCTTGGACCGGACGATGGGCGGAACGGCCCAGACGAATTCGACGGGAAGCAGCCGGGAAACGGCACCAAGAGTGGAGGGCCTAATTTTCCATTTTCGCCTGGATTTGGTTTCGGTGGATTCGACGTCGAACTAGGGAGTAATGCAGGTGAGTCTGCAATACCCGATTTGCATTTCACAAAATTGGATAGAGTGTTATTAACCTATTACTGCGATAAGTTGTTTTTATGGTTGTTATATGTCCCAATTCTCGAATTTAATTTCAATAGTTCCGAAATTTCCAGAGATATTGGAATCATGCATTTCGTCTTTGATCTTTAAACTTAACTTATACCGCGGTTTGGTTTTTTGGTTAGTATTGTAACAACCGATTGTTACTATGCATCTATTAAGACTTTGTAAAGTAACATATTATTGTTCTGATCATAAATAGAAAATAATATCAATGAAAAATACATTGGCTTTTCTAAGAAGAATCTCGACGTGACACCACATACCAAATTTTCTAAAGTAGATCCGTTTTTTTACTGTTCATTAACTTTATAATTTTTAGGCGGAGAAACCATTCCAGATTTAAACGTGTACCAACATAAAAAAACATTAGCCCAGGGGATGATGGACTTGGCACTATTCTCCGCCAACGCAAATCAGCTCCGGTACGTTTTGGAGACGTTCAAGTCGCACCCGTACTATTATCCTAGCCTCGTACTCATTTCGATAAGCCTTATACTTCAGGTAAGCTTTTGTGTAGTTAAATGTATTAGGTCTATATCGTTGGAAGTACAGTTGCGCAGACTGTGAATAATATTTACAAAACTTCAGGATTTCTCCTTCATCGGTTGTTGTTGAATCGAACTTGCTGACGTTTCCCCAATCATCCTGTTGGCTTGTTCAGAGTTTAACTGAAACTGTTTCAATTGTCAGTTTCAGTTAAGCTCTAAAGAAGCCAAAGGATGATTGACGAGTAGGCATTGTTTCATTTTTCAGTGTCAGCTAAACTCTGAAGAAGCCAACAGGATGATTGACGAAACGTCAGCAAGTTCGATTCAACAACAACAATTCTGAAGTTTTTTAAATAGTATTACAGTAGCCTGTGGAAGTTTCTTTGAAAAATGTACATGTGAATGTCCGCAACTAACCAGTTTTTAATTTTTCTGCAATATCAAGAAAACTTTGGTCGGAAAGATTGGAAAAATAATAATAATAATAATAAAATAATTCATAACAATAATAGTATTATTGTTATAAAAATCTGAAGTTTAGTAGACCTTTCAGCATTGGCAATATTTTGGAAATGCAAATTGCAAAGACAATACTGTACGGATAAAATCGATTCTTTTGTATAAAACGTCACCGTTTGCCGTTGCCGTATTTTTTCATATCTTCAATTTAATCTTGGCAATAATATCTTAGCCAATGTTTCTCTTCAAAAAACTTTATAACTTAATGTTTGTTATATTTAGAAACTCTTTCAACCAGCAGTTGAACACAAATACAAACTGAGCCAGAATTGAATCTGATTTTAAATTTGTTTCATAATTTTACTAGTTTAACATATTAATCCAATTTATATCGATTTTAAATTATCCAGTTATCTTATTTTTCTAATACTAATGATTTTGTGTTAGTATTTGTTGTGATTTATTTGTATTTGTAATATAAATCATGCCTGAGAAAAAAAATATTTACTTATTTTTAAGATTAAAATATTTTAAGAAACTAAACTAAAATTTTGAAAATTTAATAAAAAACACAAATATGTTAATGACGTGAATCAACTTTCATATTTTCGATATATTAATAAAAATGATAGCTGGGACAAGTGGGATATCAAAAAACGCAGTACATCTTAGAAAACAATACCCAAAAAAAAATGCCTCCTTGTCTCTTCAGAAAATAAACAATAACTCTTTGCATATATTGTTGGCAAATTGGCCAATTGTCCTCTCAGAATACCAAGTGAAGCAAATATTGAATGGAAACAATACATTTTGCGACGAGTTTTAGGAAAAGTATTTTTAATGCTGCTCAAATTTATCAGAGGCATCAAAAAGTTAACATTCTATTAAAAGGGACGCGCTGTTGACAGAAACTTTTCCCCTCTTTGAAGTTTTTGGTCTGAACATACAATCCGTGCGCGCCTTACAAAAGAAGTCGGATTGTAGATTATTTTCGACGTTTCTTTTCGCCTCTTCTCCTTTCGCCGTTTTCGTATGACGGTTCCCAGAGCGTTGCGACGGAGTCTCCGAGGACATACCACAAAGTTTAAGCACTGCCTCGACCCAATTCTTTAAACTTAAAAAAATAGTTTATTTGTCTCATTTTTGTTTAAAATTCAACTTGATGAAACGTTATCTTGAACAACAAAAAAACATATTTTTTGCCGATTATCGGTTTCCGCTTTGCGTGTCAAATAACAAACAATAAATAATGTTAATCAACCGCAGACCCATAAAAATTATGCGCAAGTCGTCAATAGCAGCAATAACAAACACAACACCATTTTTGACTGCATATTTTATCACATTTGTCTGGTTTCAGTAAATTTAAATTTGAAAAAACGAATTGAAAATAATTTTCAAATTAATTCAAAATTAAAGAATTAGTTAAACAATAATGACATCACTTTGTTTTATATCATCCAAATTTAATTATCTCGCCAACGTTAAATATGAAATTTAATGAACACTATTATTTAGGATTATTGGAAATAAATGGATAATGATTATTTAGATGGACTGTTGTTTCAATTTTAGCGAACAGTAATAAAAATGGTAACCTCTCGTGTATGTATAAATGTTACAGAGAGAAATTTCGCGGATGTCCAGATAAACCAACATTGTCTCTGGCGGAAATTTATTAAACCCAATATTTAGAAATAGGTAAAGGAGACTTTGATATCATTCAATTGATAGATAACTGAAAATCGCACTTCCTGATGAATTACAAAGTTTGGCGTTCTATTTTTAAGTAAATTACTTGGAATCGTTTATATCTTTATATAAGATGGATAATTTATTTTATCTTTGATGTCCTTAATAAAGCAATTTTTATGCCTTGGTAAAATTCAAAAATTAACAACACTTCCAAAATAATATGAATTTAATTAATATAGTAAATACTAAATATAAATAATTCTATATTGTACTATTATATTAAATAATATTAAGCAATATTAAAATAATGTTAAAGCTAAGCATAACAGGTCACCAGCGTGTATTACAAAAAATATAATTTTTGAAAATAATTTTATATTGTGGTCAATAAGGGCCGCTTTTATTAAATTTAAAATCAAATTTCTAACAAATCATATTTCTAACTATAAAAACATTAGATGGGTTAATTTTTATTCTTTTACTTCCAGGTGGTCATCGGAGTCGGACTTATTTGGAATGCTGCCTACAACGTAAAGGATGAGAAAGCATTATGCCGAGCAAATAAAATTAACAACTTTACCATTATATTTTTAGTAACTGTTATTAACGTGTTCATCTCAGCGTTCGGAGTTGCGTCACCTCCTTCTTAAGAATCGTGTTCAGTCAATTTCTTGTCGCGAAGTCTCGCTATTTTTGCTCAATATGTGATATTAAGTATAATAAATGCATTCAAAAAATTTCTATTTATAAGGGAGCTTGCTCTATTGTGCAATGCAGGTGCTTCTTTTGTACGAATTTGTAATAAGCCTATAATTTCCTAATGGCTTTTATTTATTCTACAAGTTTCGTTTCGTTATAAGTATTAACTCCGCCAAATATGTAAAATATCGGGTTCGGAAAAAAACCCAACAATGATTTTAAATAAAATAAAGGATTATTTCTTCAAAAGTACTTACTATTTTAAATCATACGACTTATCAAACATTAATATTTTACAGACAGCGTCTTAAAGCCAACAAAACCTATTATTTCTTTATACACTCCCTATAATTATATAACAAAGCTTAAGAAATCAATTACTTACTTAGACCGAAAAATTAATAAAATAATATACTCAGGGTTCCACTTAAAAACAACAGATTTAGTATAACCAATACGCTGCCTGTATCAAGCTGGAAACTAAAAGGGTTATGAAAAAATAGTTTCTTCCGATTCGGTATGGTCTTTTGTTTTACAGCTCCATCAACAAGTTCTTTTATTTAGAAATTTTGAGTAATGTCGATATCTTATTGACGATATTGACAAATTCTTCAGGAATCTTTTTGAGTTTCTTGTTATAACGGAAAACTTATGCTATGGCGCTATATGGTATTAAATAGAGCGATTTTACATAGTTACATTTTTTAAAATAAATACCATTTACCATATCATATATTCAATATCATCACGACTATTAAGCTAGTAGTTGCGGATTTCATTTAGAGTAAAAATATGAAAAAATTAATAACAAGAAGCGAATTACGGGTTTAATCTTTGAATGCCTTTAAAAAAAATGCGTCCTAAATACGAAAACAGATTTTAACTCGTTACGATAAACCACAAATTTTTTCAGCATTGATTTGAATCCAGAATCGATTAGGGAAAAATTATAATGTTATATAAAATATCTTTATGTAAGATCTAGAAAATAATAATAATAAACAAAAGAAATTAAAAATAAAGTTTATTATTTACAACAGAAAAATAGAAAATGAAGTTTTTTATTAAAATATTAATATTTTTTAATTATATTTTTTTATAACAATCGTAAGTAAGTAATTATTTAAAATAGAGTTTCTTGTAGGTGTTCGACCATCAGGATTTTTTTCCGCAAATGTCTAAATGTCTTGATTAAATTTGTTCCTTTTTAGTCATTAAACAAATTTAAAAGCGTTTGTGTGAATAATTTAGTTAAAAGGCATGACATTTATAAAAAAATAGAAAACTACAAGTGCTTGATTATTTTTTCTGCCCTATTGCTTATCTTTTTGGCAAATTGATAGCCCATGGAAAAAAAATTTTATACTAATATTTCGAAATCCACAAGTTTTTGAAATAGGAAAGATTATATAAAGTCACCATTTTTTTATTTCCAAATATGACAAAAGTATAAAAATAGAGTGTTCTCATTCGGAAATATGAGTGAATCTAAACCAGTTTTGTCATTATGATTTGTTGATATTCTTTACGGGCCACCATTTACAAAATGGCAACGAAGAATGAATGAATGAATCAAGCAAGAATTAGAATTTCGACACCGTTAATCAAGAAAAGGAATCGTTTTCGGACATATGTTCATATATAAAACTAGGGTTTATTTTTCATATAGAATATACCATAAGATTGTGGTGCATTAATTGCGGAACATCCTGTGATTATGAAATTTTTCGATTCATCGTAAACTTATAAAAATATATATATCATATACCTAAATTCACTCGTGATATATTCGCAACAGAAATTTACAGTAGTTCTTATTAATCACATTTTTGATCTTAGTCTTAGCGAATTGACACATTTGTAAAAAATTCAAAAAAGTCATCGATTAAGCAAATAATAAATTAAATTAGACGGAAACTAAAGGGTTGATATTCGAGCGATATGTAGAAATTCGGGAATTTAAAATAGTAAAGTGCACCTACACTCGAGGAAATTGCATTATAAGCCGATATGCATTTGGCGAGTTCCCGTTTCGAGTTTACAGCCACGCCGCCATCTTAGCTTAATTGAATATTCGTCGAATTGCAGTTGGTTTAAACTCGAACCGCGCCAATTTAGACTTTATGCTGGGAAAGGGGTACCCCTAGCTCTGGCAGCGATCGAGAATTCAACTTTATGATTTTGTTAGTCAACTTGTGATCTTATAGCCAACTACATTTTTAAATATTTTGATTTTTCTTTGTTGTTTTGACGTTTTTTTATAGATTTATTTATTCAAATTTGTTACCTTGATTAGTTAGCCTATAAACTTTAATTATTTATTTTTGTTATTTGGTATTTTCAATCAAATGTATCTCTGGACTATTATACCTTTAAAGAAGTAGAATAATGTCTTTGCTATTTAAAAAATACCTGCACCACCTATTTGGGACGCCCTGGATAAGCTGAGGCGCATTTGTCAAACTGATTGAGTAGTGCATCTCCTTAGTCTGTGGTTAAATTTTAGTTGCAATACCTGGACCACTAGCGCCACAACACAATTTTATATACAAAATGCAAAATTCGAATAGGAATTTCTGAAGAAAGTGTATCAACAAAATTATAATATTTTACATCTTTTGTACGAAACTTTTTCGTACCTATTATGGGTTTCCAGATCGTATATCGTTTTTTTTGGCACACGGTGTACATAGTTTTCGTGTTCCTTTTTACATCCCACCTACACGGTCATCCATGAAAAATACAACAAATCGAAAGCTACTTGTTTTTTAATGTCATTTGTCATTTGATTTTTAAACCCATGTATTTCCAAATCTAGCAGATAATATTGCGAAAGGTTTAACAAAAAAACCAATAAAACAAAAAACAGTACTAAAGCTAAAGGCCAACTGTAGTAATTACTTTCTGTTAAATTAATAAGTCTAGTCCAGGATCTAGTCGTGCTGTCCAGTTAATCTTTAATGCAATTAAAATGAATAAATTGCAATTGATTTTATTTTCCAATGTACTTGGACAGACTAGAAAAATAAACCCTCATCTCAATTTGATAATTTATATTACGACAAGCGACAAAAAATTTTAGAGGAGAGCTCACACAATTATTTTCACAGGTCCGAACCTTACTGGGCATGTAAGAACAAAGGAGCTTGATATGGAAGCCAGTGGCCACGGATGAAAGACAAACTCTATCTTTCAAGGTTGAAGACGGGAGTTCTAACACAAACGGACCCTATTGGAATTGGAATTTTCGATGTTATAATTTTATCAAGATAAATTGTAGGATGGAATTATTCTACCTCTCTTCCTTTTATTCCTATAAATATTTAATTACTGTAAATTTTTAGCTCTAAAAAAGATAAAAAAATAAGTGATATTTTCCTACTTCTATGAGTTAAAAAAATTGATGCACCTAATAATTGTGGTTTTAAGAAAAATTATGATGGCCCGTCTTGGTCTTTTATATTTGAAGGTTCATACTCTAAAGTTCAGAGCGAATATTTATATATTATTTAAATTTTTTTCTTGCTGGGGTTGCTTAAAGAAAAACGATATTTAATAGAATACAAATTGATTTTTGATCGGATGCTGTGCACAAAAAAAATAACACGGAAACAGGAGAAATTGCTCTTTTAATTGAATTTGAGCATGGCGTCTTATACTTAAATTTAAAAATTTGAGTGAACAGAATAGGGAAATAGGAATAGGGAATGAGAAATATTTGTTTACTAGTGCATTCCTTTAGGACTTCTGTCGCATTATTTATATAAATAAATATAAAATAAAAAAAGTGTTCTAACAATATTTAAACTAGAGTGTGTTTTATAACTGTTCAAATATAACCACAACTGGTCATCTAAAATGTTACATCTAGGCAAAACAGAACTAAATATTTATAAGAGCTGTACAATAAAGCGACTCGAGATTATCGTAATCTGATGCTGAATGCCGAGTGTGCCCTGGAAATGAAGTTGTTTAACAAACAGATGAATCTGCGGGGAGCACTAAAAATATCAACCGGCATATGCCGACATATTTGTTTGAATGTTCGGAGTAATATTTATTTAATGGCTAGAGCTACAGCTAAACACGTTCTGACCACCCTTGAATAAAGTAATTTTATTCAAATTTTACTAAGAAAATGTTTCCATTTTGCGTTAATGTAAAGCGGTTAGAAAAAATTAAGGAACTTGTTTGTTAGTATTGTCAGAGATCCCAAAATAAATAAATAATAATAACTACCAAATTTATGAACAAACGTCAGAAACAGCTATGCTTATCAGCAGTCATTAAAATGCCTCCGAGATTTTCTTATGCATTTAAACTGTATACACCCTAAGATACGTTTTACCATTGAGTTAAAAACTGATAATAATCTCCCATTCTTAGATATTCTTGTCAATAGAAAATCACTTCTAAGATTGGGTTATTCTGTTTACAGAAATCCTATGCACACCTTAATGCAATATTACATGACCAGTCGGCCCAGAAATAATCGGTTATCAACTCACTTGTTTACAGAACCGTAAAACTATCTCAACCCGAGTGACTGAACCCAGAACTAAAACATCTTACATCTGCTCTTCTCTCTAATAATTTATTAAGCGTTCCATCACAAAATACACTTCACCACAACTTTCCAATAGCAATGAGTCCAAAAGTAATCCCACACTTGCCACTGTTGTACTTTCTTACATTCAAAATATCAGTGACCACATTTCGAAAGTTCTTAAAAAACATAACGTCAAAACCAGATGTTCAGTTGTCCAAAAATCTTTCAACATCTTCCCTGAAAAACAAAATTCCGTTTGAGATACCAGGAGGTTACAACATTCCATACACATGCGGCGAAAAATCATGAAAGAGTCTTAAGACTACGAAATATAAACTCGTCAGCAGTTGCCGAATACTATCATGAAACCGAACATTGTTGCATGTAAACAATTTTTCCACCAAAAAAATCCGAGAATCTATAGAAATCTATGGACAACCAAACATAGGAATCATTCATAAGAGACAATGTCATGCCCCTCTTTTGACTCCATCCCCCGTCAATAAGTTGGATTTTTCTAGAAGCTTCTTTGAAAAAAATAATTTCGGAAAAATATTCACGTGGGTTCTGGGTGCATAATAGTACAAATGACAGAATTATAGTTGTTTAGGTTAGACAGATAAATAAAACGAGTCAAAAATAAATATTCCATAATACCCAAAACGAAATATCACCTAAAGCTAATGGCGCTCAGGTATATATAAAAAAACATGAATTTATATTTCCGTTTTAGGACTTTTAAAATGATAACAAGAACCGCATGAAATCAGTTGAATATTCAAACACAAATCTTTAAAGCATTATTTAAAATTACGGACGGCGCTTTAATCTTAAGAGAGCAATGTTCAATTTCAAATTTAAATTTCATAATGAATTTAGCATTTTATTTCAAATTTGCTAATGATTGTGCTGTAATTCACATTTTTATCACAGATTGGAATCTTCGTAATGAACAATTTAAAATAGCCACCATTAGACATTTTCGTACGCTTTTCACTCCAATAAACCCTATTACTGCTCACCACAGAACATTTTGCGTATTTCCGTCCAAAAAACTCTTCCATGTGTACTGATGTTTTTGTTCTCTGATTGTATAAAATATTCAACAATATGTTTTTAGTTATTTTTGAATACTTGCTGCAAAAGTACGACTAATTTAAAAAGAATATCAGATATGCAAATAAACGTTACAACTGCATTGTTAATATCATTTTTGAGTTAGCAAAAGAAAATTTCAAAAAGTATAAGACAGTATTAAAAACAATACTAACTATAAAACACCAGGAATGCTGTCAAAATACTGAATCAGAATCACAAATATTACGAATATTACGTAACGCTTGTAGGATGCTTAGAAATTTGTCATGAGTTATTCATGATATTTTTGTCCAGGAGCGAATGACCTTCCGCGCATGTACATAAACTTTACACAATTAGTTGCATTTTATTTTTTAACGGCAATTGGCACACCAACAACTCGTTTTTTGGTAAAGAGTTAAAGCTTTCTCGGCATTATTTCAACTATAAATATTCGAAATATATAACTTTATATTCTTATAGAAGACCTCTTACGCACCGATAAACTATAGATTCCACCCATGCAGCTAATATACTAGGTGGCATGAGTGCGGCAATCCAATTAACTACGAAATTATCGATGTGTAAAAGCTCGGTAACAATCTGCCAAAAACATTCATAATGAGGAAACAATTCCTCTTTTGTTTGGTAAGTATTTAACGTGGCGATTTAGAGATTCGAATGTTATTGGCATTTTGGATAACGGTAGCGAAGTGAACTTTTGTATTGTATTTGTATTCATATTACCCAATTCAATTTCAGAACAAAAGCCTCTTGTTAAATGAAATCCTTATTGATGAGGATGGATAAAATTTGTACATTAGAATATTTAAACTGAGCATGGGCAAAAATCCTTTGTTCATATTATTTTACAATGTTCTATGCAGTGACTACTGAATAATGAACTGAGCGCATGTAGATTGTGTTTAGAAGAGCAGGAAACTCCCATTTATCTCTTAGCCAGCTGGGCTCCAGTAGGGAGCAGCCGATTAAAAGCACTCTATAAATGCCTCTAACACAATAATGCCGAACACGAAATTTTACATATGATTTTGAGCTGATCCGTATCACATAAGTGCAACCTACTAATCGGAATACTAGACGTTTACTAAAGAAGCGATTTATTCTTAAATATAATATATTGGTGTTTAAATGGCCTAGTGGTAGCATATCTTATTAATAATAATATTTCAATAATTCTCATTTCTTATAGCGGACTATATAAACTTTAAATAGTTGATACTATTTCATTTTGCTTTGCTTACTGTTGTGTTGTGTTAGGAGTAAATTTATCTTATCAAAATTATTTTTAAGAATTGTTTTGAAAAAAAAAAAACAATTCGCATCAACTAATCTACATTGCGGATGTCACCAGTCACTAAAAGTGCGTAGTGACAGTGGGTATTTCCATATAATAGTATTTTCGTTGATCCGATTTTCTGTTCGATTTAATTTATTTTATTTATCCCCAGTGGGGTTCCAAATTAAACAAAGAAATCTAAAGTCTGACCTACTTTAAACAGTAGATTAATTCGGAAACCCGATACATTTTAACTTAGTTCCATTATTCTTGGCTCCTCTATCATCGCTTTCACATCCGGATAATACTGCAGATATTGCCAGATTTTTTAACAGGATATGGAAGCATTTCCCTTTAGTCCGGAGCTTAGAATACTTCTTCTCATTTAACAGCAAATCCTAAATTTGCTGCTTTTTTAGTTCCGTTTATTAATTTATACTTTTTCGCAGAATTTATTCTGCTTGTAGGCGCATTAGATTTAGAATTTCTTCGAAGTGATTAACTTAAATGATTGTTTGTAAGGGGTGTTTTTTTTCGATGTATAGAACTTTAAGTTGCAATAAAACAACGATGGATTATTCGATTGACATGAATTTTATTTATCCGAAA